AAACGTGTTTTTTTCCCGGAAAATTAAGATCTCTACACGGAAGCGCTTTCAACCGGTAAGGAGATGCGTGGGCCCGCCTTTTGCTACCACCGAAGATAAGGTGCTTTCCGTGTCGGCGGTGCAAAGAGATAAGCGAAAATAGAGAACTGTGAGTCGCGGAGGAAAAAGGTACCACAGGTGAGGTGAGCCGGCTTGAGTCCGCCAAGCTGGTGAGCCTGCGGTAGAGGACCGACACGTCCATGGTAAATACGTCCACAGCAGTTTGGACGTAAATGAAGCGCTTTGCGAAAATACGTCCAATGATTTGGACGTAAATTAACATCTGTGATTATTACGTCCACAGTGTGGATGTACTTACGGTCCGTCTGAGGCTGGTGAAAATACCTCCACAAAATCTGGTGCTAATTGTCACCGCTGCGATTCACATCCTCAGGAATGACCGAACGAGCCAAAGAATAAACGCATGCCCGTATGCCTGTTTCTCCTGTACACTGACCAACTGAGTCATAAACTGTTCAACACTTGTAAGTGTGCGACAGAGTTGTTGTGCTTGCGCTATTGCAAGTGTTAAAGAGTTGAACAATTTTTGTTTATCGGTGAATGAAAATCACTATTGTCTCGGCCCGACTGTGTAGAGCGCGACATGAGAGGCAATGCAGAGAGCCCAAACCAGCAGTGTACCGCGCGGTAACTGTTTGAAAATCTTACAACTCTATCAACGTCCTACTCTTAGTGCGTATTTCTAGAGTTTTCAGAGTAGCACAAGCGTCACCTACAATTGAGTGTGTAGGATTTTCGCACCACTCTCGCAACTGCACTGTGAGAAATATATTTGTACATGTACGATATATTTTGTAATTTGCCATTTACAATACGAGTCGTACATGTACAACCTCCCACTGTCGCTCGATATTCGATTCTAAGTCGATACATAGGGCGAGTAAATTGTACAATTTTAGATTGTACTTGTACGACTTCTTCCATGGAAAATTTTCCTGTACCCGGTACGACAATTTTTCACAGTGTGTCGTACTGTTGGATTTTCAGAGTGAGGGCAAAACGTCATCCGTGTGGATGTAAATGAGAGGAGAGGAGACAAGTTGCAAAATATTTTGTGGAGCTATTTTCACCAGCCTCAAAAGTACATCCACACTGTGGACGTAAAAAACACATCTGTTAATTTACGTCCAAATCATTGGATGTAAATTTGTGGCCGTGTTTTCACAACGCGCAAATTCTGTGGACGGATTTACTGTGGACGTGTCGGTCCCGCCCCTCTCGGGACGTTCGGAAACCTTGGCCAGAAACGGAATCTACGCGCAAAAACGCATCCGGCGGAGACGTGCCGAAAGTCATATTTCATCAAGAACGTAGCACGCGATGACACCCCGGAACATACTCAAAATGTCAGACCTTCGTGCAGTTTGCACCCCTCTTATAGTGAACCTTGAACCGTCGAACCGTGTCGTGGTGTCAAAATGAGACACGGTGAGCCGAATGGTGTCATGACAAGACATTAGTGAGCCACATGGTGAGTCGAGCGCGACATCCTCGTGAGATTTGCAAACTGCGCAAAGTACATGCGACTGCATAAGTTTTGCGAGGTCAATTTGTTGCGTTTGTAAAGTGCGCGAAGGCAAAAGGCCGCGACAAATTCTTTCACGAGGCTGTGCGCGGTGCACATCGCGCTCCTGAATGTCACCGTAATTCGCATTTTTTTTTTCGCCCCCTCTTTCCACCTACCCACCCCGCCCCAGACGCGCGACTGAGCCTCATCAAATAGCGGGAAATGTGGTCCCGCAAAACTCTGCCGTGTCGAGGGGCGTGGCGGGGCGTGGTGGGGCGTGGTGGGGCGTGGTGGGGCGTGGTAGGGCGTGGCGGGGCGTGGCGGGGAAGCGAAGAGCGGCATTCCCCCCTCATTCTCCAGCCTCAGCAGATTGCAACCCGCGCGACGCGCTAGAGTCCATACCGCTGCCAAAACCGGCCTAAACTCTTCCATATTTGATAATACAAAGCCCGCTATAGTTGTTTGACCCACCCCCCACACACACACACTCACTCGGTTTCTGCGTTATTCCTTCGATCAACAAACATTGCGAGCGGGTGGGTATCAGTCCGACGATATGGTCCGTCTGGGACGCTATCTAATCGGCCGGTTGGGTCACCTGCCAGGCCCGTCCTCGCCAACCTGGCAACGTGACCAAGGCCAGGAGCTGGGGCCGTTGCAGTGCGGAAACTGAACTGCAACCTCTCTTGTTGTTGCAGATATTTCTTTCTGCACTCCGAGTGCAAGCACATTGGTGGGTTCTAAACATGCATCCGCCGCAGAAAAAAAAAAACTGAAGTACTTGGACAGTAAATTGTAGTTGAGTTGATCCTCGATTATTCAAGTACGCATGTTTTGAATCAAGTGATATGTACTTGAAAAAATCAAGGATGATCAACAATGTACTTAGTCCAAGAACTCAGGGTTTTTTTTTGGGGGAGGGGGGGAGTACAAGCGGTCGCTTGATCCCTCTGCAACACTGATAGCGCATGACTCTGCATGTAAGAGACTCTTTCTTCTTGCCAATTCGTTTACTTGTTTGATGTATTATTGTTGTTGTTATCGTTCGTCAGGTTCACAAAATAACAGCAGTCCCTTGTTTCCCCAAAAGAAATCGTGCCATGTTACTGCAGCAGTTCACATTTGTCCGAGTGCAAGGGAAGGTGCGAGCATCGGCGGCTCACGGTGCAGCCCCGTGGCAAGGCCAACGTGCCGGTACAGTAGCGGCTAGCGGCTACCCCGAGCACTTTTTATCTACACCAGGTGACCGGGGAAGCGACGAGCGGGCGGAGGCGTGACCGGCACTCCCTTCCCTTCCATTTCGAGTACATCCACAATTATTAGTCATTGGCATGCAACAACAACAACACTGTTGGAATGTAGTGGTATACCGCATACGGTCAAAGAATTAAGGGATGCACCCCTAAATGGTCGGGGAGTTTATAGCTGTAACCCCACTCGGTTTGAACTTTGTGCCGCCAATAGGCGACGCGCTGAGTTTTACACCACAATGTGTATGGGTTACAACCGGCGGACAAAATTCCCCACTGTTTCAAATGTACCGGCTGTAAAGGCAATACACCACAGTGTTGTGGGTTTGCCCGAGGGGTGAACATCTCGTGTATTCCTCTATCCCGGGGTCCTGTATTACTTTGTAGTACCTGATATTACTTGTATTCCGTGTATTACCTTGTATTACCATGTATTACCATGTATTACCATGTATTACCTTGTATTATTTTGTATTACCTTGTATTATTTTGTATTACCTTGTATTACCAAGTATTACTTGTATTACTTGTATTACTCGTAATACCTGTAATACCTTGTAATACCTTGTAATACTTCGTAATACCTTTGTAATATATCTTGTAATTCATCGTAATACCTTGTATTACCTTATAATACTTGTAATACTTTGATATTATCTGTAATACTCGTAATTTTTGTATTACTCGCATTCCCAATATTACTTTGTAATATATTCATCTGTCCCCGGCTCAGCCGAGTTGTTCACCCCTCGGGTTTGCCTACCCGATCTGCCCGTAAAGGGCCATAGCTCCTTGGGTATGCAAACCCGCAACACTGGGAAGTTTTAGCCTTCACAGCCTTCACATACTCGGTTTAACAGTGGAAATTGTTCTCAGCCTCTCTGGCTGCCCTCCCCCCCCTCTAAATCTCTCTCTTTCCCTGAAATGTACAGGGCCTGGAACACGGGGGATGTCAGCAGGTATGGTACGCACGCGGAACCACTACTGCGAAAAGCGCTCGGACAAGGGATGATGCGCTATGTGCAAACTCTGATGCATAGGTACATGAACATGTCGAGCGCGCAGCTAGGCGGCAACATGGCTGGCTGATATTCGGCCAAGCGATGCCTATTCCGCGAATGCATTTCGTCGTTCGAGTTTTGACTCGCCACGCTGCCCCTCGGTCACCTAGTGAAAGATAAAGAGTGCTCGGAGGGGGGGGGGGGCTGCTACTGTACCGGCGGGCCGGGCACTTCGCACATTGGCTTGACCGGCCACTCCCTTCAATCTCGAGTACATCCACAATTATACTAGTCATTGGCATGCAACAACAACAACAACAACCATCAACAACAACAACAACCATCAACAACAACAACAACAACAAACAAACAACAACAACTCACTTGTTTGAGCTTATTATTGTGCAGCAAATAAATGTCGCATCAAGTTCTGCACCACATGGGAATCCAACAGTAGGACAAAATTTAGGGAACTCTGAATCCACTTTTATTCATTCAGCGAATGCATTTCGTCGTTTTGAGTTTTCCCGCGCAAAAAAACAATGACGTAGCGTTTGACTGTTTGTCGACAGTGACTGCGCTACTGGAGGGGAGGGGGAGGGGGTTAGATTGACCCGCCGTGTCGCGACGGTTAAGCCCGCTGCCGCTCGCTAGCCGGGATTAGGACACGGCACGAGCTGCCACTGATTTGCATGATCCAGAGCCGAGCCGAGCCGAGCCGAGCCGAGCCGAGCCGAAGCCGGCTCACTGCGGCGCCAGGGCGACGTAATTAATAGCGACAACAATTCGTTATTGGATAGGGAAACATGGAGCGGCGCTGATTGGACGAGCCGACTAGGTACTCCAGGCGGGGAAGGGGGTCCCATCGGGGACGCAGTATGGGAGGCCGCCGAGGATGCCGTCGGGGTCGAGGACGCCGACAGGGACGCCGACGGGGACCCAGCCGACGACCCAGACGACGACGCCGACGGGGACGCCGACGGGGACGCCGACGGGGACGCCGACGGGGACGCCGACGGGGACGCCGACGGGGACGCCGACGAGGACGCCGACGAGGACGCCAACGAGGACGCCGACGAGGACGCCGACGGGGACGCCGACGGGGACGCCGATGAGAGCGCCGATGAGGGCGCCGATGATGGGTTCGGGGACGCCGTCGAGGCCTCGGACACTGCGACTCACCTTGTTGGACGGGCGAGGCGGCCACCAGCTGCAGCACGACGATCAGGATCACGGGCCGCATCCTGCCTGAGTCACCGGCTTGTTTGTTGTCGAGCAGACGCCGGGCCGGTGAGACCACCAGGCCGCCGCACTTGTTGTGGTGGTCGCGGCTGTTGCGCGCCGCGGGGCCGCGCGCCTCGTCGCGCAGAGAGCTCCGCGGGACCTGCCCCCCTCCACCCCCCGGGCCAGGGGCGGGCGCAGGGGCCGCTGAGGACCGCGCCGCCGGCAACAACACACGAGACTTGCTGAGGAGGGCCGACGGGTCAGTGCGTCCGTCAGCGGCTGGGGTCGGGCCGGGCCGGGCCTGCAGCGCCTGGAGCCGGCGCACAAACAGGGGGACACCAACAAAGGGGCGCACTCCGGACACCGTCAGGGCCGAGGGCACCACCCGGGCACCGACAGCCCACCACCACTAGGGTATACCGCCGGCAGGCGCGAAGCGGATCAGGCCTTGTTTGGTGTTGGCCGGAGCAGCCAAGCCGGCGCGCGCTCTCTCTCTCTCTCTCTGTCTCTCTCGCACTACAAGTTGTGGGTCCCGGTGCTGGTCCTCCCACGCGGGGCCGCCGCTGGCGCCGCTGCCGTGCGGCGGATGCTGCAGACCCTCATGACGGCCGTGACGTCACGATCACGCTCCGTCACGCTCAGTCGTCACGCTCCGTCACGCTCACGGCCCGGCGCCGTGCTGTCTGCCTCTCTCTCACTCACTCGCTCTCGCCGCGACGCGGGCGCGCACGCGAGCTCGACGACGCGATGCCGGCGGCGGCGGCGACGACGACTTGACGACGACGACGTCCCGGACGACGCGGTGGACACCTAACCTCAATCACGGCCTAGGCGCGCAGGAGAGCAGTCTTTGGTCGCGACGCGCCCGAGTCGCTCAACCCGTTCGCTCGCTTCGAGTGCACTGTTCGCTGTTCTGCGGCCGGCGGCTGGCGGCTTCGGCGCGCCCGCCGCCTGGCTGCCCGCCCGCTCGCCCGCCTGCCTGCCTGCCTGCCAGCCGGGCTGGCCGCCGGTGCCGAGCCTCGCCTCGAGACGACCGTCCTGTCAGAAAGCTACACCAGCAGAAAACACACCGCGACGCGAGCAAGGCGAGCGCTGCCCGGCCAAGGCGGCACCCAGCGCGCCGGCTTGTACAGGCAGCCGCCGGCAGTCGCCAGCCAGCCAGCCAGCCAGCCTGCATGCCTGCCTGCCTGACTGCCCCGTCCGACCGGCCGACGACGACGCCGCGGCGAACCGGCCGACCGGCTGCTCTGCAGGCAGGGGCCTAAACAGCAGGAAGAGGACGGGGGGGAGGGGGGAATGAAAACAGGAGGAGGAGGAGGAGGAGGAGGAGGAGGAGGAGGAGGAGGGTGGTGTCACTAGGCGCAGCTAGCGCGGTGTGCGGTACCGGAGCGAGAGAGAGAGAAAGGGGGGGGGGGTTATGCTGCTAATGATTAAAGGTCAGGACACACACTATGGAGATCCCTCATTGGAAGAGTGACGCCAGGTTGGTAAGTAGTCCCTTCGACGCTCCATCCATCTTGCATATATACATAATCAAAATCAAGCTTCTGTCAATGGCGCAGCTCGGCTGAGCCCGAGGGCCACGTGGCCGAAGGAGTACAGGAGCACAGAGCAGTAATAAAGTAAAGTGCCATAGTGGGCTATTGTAAGTACACCAAAAAAACTGTGCTCTCAATTCAAGATCATCCCCAAAATGTTTACACAAATGTTCTTGTTTTGACCTTTATATGCCTTTGGAACAATAAAATAGGGTTTAGAGGAAGAACGTTTCTGTCTTAAAATTGAAAAACATTTTTGGGGGTGTACATGTACGTAAGTAAAGTAACAGAGTAAACTCACTGCGCTCACTTTCGCCACATTTCCGTTCCGTATTTTAATAGATCCAGAGAATATCGGTGCCAGCCAGTAGCCAGTACAAGTCAGAGAGGATGTTGCTGGTATCCTTTGCTCACATTGTTGTGAACCTTTTTGTGAGTGCGAGTGTGCCATCGCTGTACAGAGTCGAACACGTGGGGGGAAACGACTTAGGTAATCCGGCTGACAGTCGTTAGGTAATCCAGCAGGTGTAATCCGAGGAAA